CTGGAGGTCTAGCTGCGGCTGGGGGTCCTGGACAAGGCTGGGCTCCCGGCCCCGGCCCCATCACCTCCATCCCCGATTCTCTCGGGGGCCCTTTCGCCAGCGTTCTATCTTCGCTCCAAAGACCCAACGGTGCCAAAGCCGCCTTAGTGAAGAGCAGTATGTTCTGAACTGCGATCCTGCGGCAGCGGCGGCGGCGGCGGCGGGCGAGCAGGGCGGGCGAGTGGGCGAGTGGGTAGACCCAAGGCTATTGTCGTCGCTGCTGCTGTGGCTTTTTCATCGAGGGCCTGAAAGGATCGTGATACGAATAACGAGAAAATGACGTCGCCCCCATTTCAACCCCACTCCTACCCCTTTCTTCAACAATCCCCCCCCCAAACAAAACAAAACAGAACAAAACAAAAAACCTTCCCTGGCTTCGAACCTGCCTCTGGCTCTGTGGCCAGGACTTCACCCGCTGACAGGGGAGGGGGTGAGCGGCTCGGCCTGAACTCGGGGCCATTCTCAGGGGGCTGTGTCTGCGTGCCGGGTGTATGTCTGTCTCTGGGAATGTGTGTCTGTGGCTCCAGTCGGTGACAAAGAGATATGGGCGGGCCACAATTAACTCAGTGACTTGCTTACAAAGAAAAAAAAAACAAAGAAAGAAAAAAAAGAAAAAGACCTAAAAATAAAAAAAAACAATCGAAAGGCAGCAGCTATTAAAAAGAAAGGTAAAACAAACCACACAAAAAAAGAACACGACAAAGTGAAAGGGGCCAAGGGAAAAAAAACTTCACTTTGCGCCCACCGAGGGCTTGATCTTTGGGGCCCCTAAATTCGCGCTTGTGACAGCACGGACTTTCTTGGGGGCTCCTCTTCAGGAGAGAATAGAGACGCCTTTCCAGCCCCCCCTGCTCCCCTTGCGCCCTTGGGTTCGGGCTACTGCAGCGATGACTCGCTCAGACTGTCTCCGCGGCCAAAGTGAACTTTCTTGCGCCCGCTTGCTTGTGGCCACCTTGCCGGACGTCATCCCGCCATTAGCGCATCTGAATCCCACACCGTTGCTACTTCCAACCCCGAATCTTCGCAGCCTCTTGGCCCTGACAAGATGCCCTATACATGAGATGCCTTTTCATCCACAAATTCTGCGAACTGTGTCTCATAGTTCTCAATTGCCCCTTTTTTTCCTCTCCTTGCCACCCTCACCGGCATTTTCTTCTTCCACCAGCTTTTACTGAACTTTTTTGATACTGCTTTGGATTGGAGTCAATTGCAGTCCACGAAGCTGGCTGCAGAGAAATCTACCCAGCGAGGGAAAGGCACACACACGTTTGCAGAAGTGTCTAGGTCTGCATTTCCGTTTGAGTGATCCGAAGTGGACTCATCCTGTAGGGTGGATGGACTGTATATTGATGGTTCCATTCTTTACGCAGTTTAGACATCTCTGTTGGGATTTTTGTTGTTTTTATTTTAAAAGGCACAAACTATAGATATTAGTTGAATGTTGAGGCTTTAACTTTTTCGGTGTCTTTCTACAACTGTGTTCTGTGACTCAATTGTAGCGTGTTAATATCAGTACAGACCGTCTTCTCTACGTGAATGTATGTTTTTCTCTTCTTGTAGTCTCTATGGCGTGTCTTTATGGCGTAATAAGGTTCTCACGGGTTCGATTCCTTTGTGTTTAGAGAGACCACAGTTCAGACAATGGTATATATTTTTGTTATCAGGTGCATGTTTGTCTGATTTCTTTTTTCCCTCTTCTCGTTGGACTATGTTTGTAAACATAATCGTCCTAAATTATGTTTCAGATTTTCAAATTTATTTATACGTGTTATAATGAATGCTTCTATTTAAAAGGGAAATATTTCTACATGTGCATATAGTTTTCCAAGAGTGTACCATTAACTTGATTGTTGATAATAAAAGCAAAAAGCAAGTCTAAGCAATTGACTCTCAGACTCATTTTTTCCACTTTTTTGTTCATTGTTTTCTTTTTTAAAATGCATTTTAGGCTGCTACTGGAGAACAGAGAAAACTATACTAAGTAGCAAGAAGTCAGCTGGTTCTGTTCATCTACTTGTGTTGCCATTTAAGCCTAACCATTCAAATTAAGCCAAATAAAATCTAGTGCTTGGGAGAGCAGAACAATCTGAGATTATCTATAAGTAAATGGAGTGAAAGAACACTTGGCAATGATAGGTGTTTGTGTGATGATTTGGTACTCAGGCTCCTGAAGGCATCTGTCCAGGTCAAGGTGGTCAATGGTCTCTGAACCCCATAGAAATCTACTACCAGGGATATCTGAGGGTCTCTGGGTGGGCAGGTGGATCAGCAGCTCTGAACAATTGGAGTGCTGGGAGTAATAATATCCACAATTGGAGTTCAAGCAACACAGCATATAATAGGTATGTTTCCATTCGTTATCTCACCTACCTTTCCAAATACAACCACAAAGCAGATACAGTTCCAATCCTCACTTTTTTGTGTGTGCCAGTCTTGGGACTTGAACTCAGTGCTCTACCACTTGAGCCACAGCTCCATTTCCAGCTTTTTTGGTGGTTAATTAGAGATACGAATCTCACAGACTTTCCTGTCCAGATTAGCTTCAAACTGGGATCCTAAGATCTTAGCCTCTTGAGTAGCTAGGATTACATGCATCCTATCCTCACTTTTGTTTAAATTGGTGAGGAAACTTGGTAGCAACAAAGAGGTTAACTTTCTCAGCATCTCCCTCCCACCACTGGCCCACCACTAAGGGGCCAGTCTGTGAACCCAGGGAATCTGACTCCAGAACCTACCTATTAATGATACCAGTGATTCCCAAAGTGTGGTTCTCAGTCAGGCAGCAACAATATCACCAGTGATTCCCAAAGTGTGGTTCTCAGTCAGGCAGCAACAATGTCACCTAGAACTTGTTACACACAAAATCTTAGATCTCACTCTAAATCTACTGGACCAGAAATTCTGGGGTCTGAGGCCCAGCAATGTGTTTAACAAGCTTTCAGGAAAACCTGAGTACACACTCTGTAAGAAACCTACAGGGAGAGTTCCAGAATTGGGCCTAGATCTGGTATCTGTAATCACCTTTTTTAGAATGAAGAGGTCTTCCTCATTGCCCAAGAAGCTATCCTAACTTTGCCTTGGCTGTTTGTCTGCTACCCCCTCCCTGTTTTTTTCAAACAGGAGCCTGTGAGCTTTTTTTCATTCCCCTCAGTACCTCTGTAATTGGACCTTTTTAATCAACACGTCAGTCTCCTTCTTTGAGGGATGATAGTCACCTGACTCCTATGGCCTAAACATTAGCAGTTTATCTAGTTTGAATTTATCAGAGCTTATTGTAAGCATCTAACATGGCTTGTATTTGATCAGGAAAGCTTATTCAGAAATTTGGGTAATTTCAGGCTCCATTACAAGCCTTTCTACGAGGCTTTGACATAGTCATTCAAAAATTCCATCTCAAAATGTCCCACAGTAAACTCTCCCAAACAATTATGTCTATAAACCATGCCATTAATTATGCTGATCTAAAATGCCAGTGATTGCCAGATTCCTTTGGCCTTAATCTTTGCTTGTAAATATAACTTAGAAGGTCAGGGAGAGGCAAAGAGACGAGCAGAAATTTATTAATAAGGAGAGCATTGGAAGTACAGGTAACCTTGCCAGAGGCTTGGCTAAAGGAAAAGTTGCCTTTCCTTAGGCACAGAGGCCTATGAGCTGATGAGGTCACTAGGAAAGACATTTTGGGGAAAGCAAGGACAGCAGAGAGAAAGAAAACAAAAAGCAAAGCCAGATGCTGGTGACTCACGCCTGTAATCCTAGCTACCATGGAGGCTGAGATCTGAGGATCATAGTTTGAGACTCTTACCTCCAATTAACCACCAGAAAACTGGAAGTGGAGCTGTGATGTGACTCAAAGTAGTTGAATGTTATCCTTGAGTGACAAAGCTCAGGAACAGTGCTCAAGTCCTGAATTCAAGTCCCATGACTGACAAAAGAAAAAAGGAAACAAATAGCAGGGAGGGAGTGGGGGAAGAAGAAGAGGAAAGAGAAGAGGTAGAAGGAGGAGGAACAGGAGGAGAAACAGGAAGTGAGGTGGGGAATCAACACAGTTGGGAAACTACAACAAAGGCTTTAGAATGCCTCTCAGTTGTAAACAAAAATGAACAGGGCCCCCAAATTCTCTTTCCTTGGCTTTGAGCTTCCTTGAGTGTCTTGTCAGGACAAGGAAAACTTTAGGGGTCCCTAGTGACCTCCCCATCAGAACCTCTGTTTTTCAGAGATTAGTATTATAAACCTCTGAGACACCTAATTTGAGTCACCACTGCTTTTATTACTGACCCAAGGAGCCAATTGTTTTGGAGGCAGGTTTATGATCAAATGCAAAATATGATGGAACCAAGCAGGTAGAACGCTGTGTCTCTTGAATTGTGTCATTTCCTTGGAGCCCTGCACAGTGTGAACAAGCTCACTTTCACTTTTCTTCTCCTAAGGAATTTGCATTTTGGCTCATCAAGGCATCCTTTTTCCTGGCAACTCTGAGACCACATGTGACTTCACAAAAGCTGCATGAGCCTGTGCCAGATGGCTGCCTTGCATCCAAGACTCTTTTAAAGAGGCCCAGCACAGAGAACCTCAGTAGCTTCAGAGGAGAACTGATAAGCATTTAGTTGCTGTCTATAACTCATCCAGATGCCTCTCTGTGGCCAATTTATGTCCTTAAGAAGACAATCTATGGCTGGATGGAGAGATCCTCAACTCAGGGAAGGGCTCTGTGTGACCTTGGATGGCAAGTAATTCCTGTGAGCCACAAATGTGAATAATAACACAGACTGTGAGTTGGTGGATTAAATAAAATGTTATGCAATAAATATCTGATACATTTTCAGTAAGTGCAAGATGTATGCCAATGTTGTTCATATATATATATATATAAAGTATATATATATAAAGTATA